AAAATAAACATTTTACTATGTACATGTTATGGAGCTCTATAATTATGATATACCCTGTATTTTTTTTCACAGTCATTACGTAGAATACAATAGACAAGGTTCCTCTGCATTTTCAGTACATTAGGCATCTCACTATTTCCTTTTTGCTCAGGCAAGAAAACGCTTTTCAAAGTATGCAGCATAAGGAGTCGAAATAGATTTGGCTGGAGTTTTTTGCAGATAAGTTGAAGAAAAATCTTTTTTTGCAAGTTACTTATTAGCATAAGGACATGACTAATTCGAAAATATCTCTTCTCAGGTCTTTTCCGTTACTGAGATAGGCGGCATTATCTTTAAAATAACTACCCTTCCTGCCGGCTACTTATAATCATAACTTTATGAATAAAATAACCATAAGTAGCTCGAGTACAGTGTAGAGACATTTTGCTAGGTGCGAGCTTACTTTTCATTGATAGAAATCATGAAAAAATCAGAAGCCCGACATGGTTAAAAGTGGAAAAAGTCCAAAATTTGGAAAATTTGCGCGCTCTCGCCGCCCACGGAAGACGTTTTTATAAAATTACAACTGCCACAGAATCTAAGTACAAAGCTACAGCTGCCTAAATAATCAATTTCACCAAAAAATCTTGCTTTTGAAGCAATAAATAAGAGCCAGTTTTTAGGAAATAATGCGTCTTATCTCGGTGACGGAAAAGACCTGAGAAGAGATATTTTCGAATTAGTCATGTCCTTATGCTAATAAGTAACTTGCAAAAAAGATTTTTCTTCAACTCGTCTGCAAAAAAACTGCAGCCAAATCTATTTCGACTTCATATGTCACCCTCACGTCTACCAAAGGTATCATCTGCGAACACAGTTTCTGAATTTTCTGTCCTAAAAGAAACGTTTCTTCACCGTAATAAGACAAGGTGAAACAGAGAGTTTTCACTTTCTTTGGTGGCTGTTGCTGAGAAGGGTGATTAAGCCGATTGACAATTACTTCTCCTTCTTTCTAACGTTGATTTCTCTCTAATTGATTTCTCACGTATACAAAGGAACGGCAATCAATGACACAAAGTTCGAACTGAATGTTTTTTGAGCACGCAATTTTCTTATATAAATAGCAAGATCTTGTCACGAGAATCACTATAGCAAGACTTTATAGCGATCGCTAAAAGCGAGTCTTATTTCGCGAGTCTAATAGCGATCGCGTGGAGCGTTCGTGCCGCGACTTTTTAGCGCGAGTTGTGCCGTGACTGTAGCGCGAAAATCGACCTGGGTGGTTCTACCTCACAAAGAAGTAATATCTTCAAAGGAGTACCGCAAGGCTCGGTTATCGGGCCTTTGCTATTCCTTATATGTATTGACGATCTCCCAAATGAAATTGAAAGCTTAGTGAGATTATTTGCAGATGATATTATTCTTTTAAATCATCATAGAGATTCAACTATTTGTGCGTAAATCATGAATAGAGATTTGAAAAGGATACAAGAATGGTCAGAGATATGGTACATACCATTAAATCTGGCCAAATGTGAGGCAATAACATTTTCATCACGATATAATCGTAAAAAGCGTTGTCTTTGCAACCGTTACAATCGTACGGTACCGCAGAGGAGGTAAAATATCTAGGATTGATACTATCCCTTGAATTAGCGTGGACTAGTCATATCAATAAAATTTCTTCGAAACTATCTTCTATTGTCGGCTTTATTGTTCCTCCCAATTGGCTTTTCGAACATATATAATAGAGAAGGGCCACGAGACAAGAAAACAGAACGTCATGTTATTGTCCTGTTCTCCTCAACGGTCAGAGTAAGAGGTGTTTCTTCATTATGTACTATCACGTGCTACTTGTAGAGTGAGTGATATTTCCTATGTTTATTCGTATCCATATATCATCCGAATATAGTTCCTAAAGTCTTATTTATCGTTGAATTTTCTCAAACCCCTATAAGACTCAATAGAGTCTTGTAAGTCAGTGCATGATAATCTACAGTATAATTTATCTATATGACACCGTTAAAGGAAAACTACAGTAACTGAGGAGAAGTTTGAAAAAGTGGTCGATTGGATTATCTTTGGTCATATGTGAAATGGACTTATCGCAGTGAAACCACAAAAATTTCAAAAATCCTCTGTACATTTTTTTTCCTGGTGCCTGACAACTCGAACGGTATATGAAACAGACTTTCAACTCGTCAGACAAAAAAGAGATAGATTTGCAAGATCTTCGAGTCAGTGTGCCACATGCGAATATTGTTGAAGTAGCCACAACGAATCATATCAAATTCTTTTTAAAACCTATGGATGTACTCAGTTTTTCATGCTAATTTTGAATAAAACTATTTCGAAAAAATCAAGGCGAAGAAAAAGTGGAAAATTTGTAGACATCATTGAACTTATTAAAATTATCGATTTTTTGTGACTTTTTGTCTTTCATCTATTATGCCCGTAGAACAAAGTTTAAAAAATTAAAAGTAATATATTCTGAATCAGCTTCGAAAGCTCATTGTCTCTTCTTCGACTCTCACTCCAGACGCGTTCGTCGAGTGAAAGATATGGGAGTTTTCCGACAATTGATTACCTCGATTTAATGTTCGTCTCTGAAGTGACAATCAGATAGTGAAATAGTTTAGGAGATCATTTCCAGCGATAACTAACAAGCCTCAGTGTCCGGCTTCCTGCTTAATAACTTCAGGAGGTGATAGTTTGTTTATGTTTCAGCAAAAAAGTATTTCATATGTATTTCAGCAGATCGAATTATTCCGACTGTGGCTTATGCAGTCGTCTCTAATACAGTTCTTTTTGCCATTTTTTCAACTTTTTCTTGAGATTTTTTCGAATGGTCTTTCGAATCTTTCGCAGATCTCTCGGCATCGCGAGCATGATTGGCTGCCTTTTCACTCGCTTCTCTGGCTTCTTTCGCTTCTTTGAGCAGCTTTTTCCGTTCCTCTTTCATAACTTCGATCTGTACGTTTGTATTCTTTTGTGTCGTTTTAGCATCGCTTGCAGATTTATCCGCTGCTCTCGCCGCTTCTGATGCTTTCAATGTCAATATTTCGACTTGTTGTCTCATTCGTTCCATCTCCAAACGGGCATTTGCCTGCAATTCGCTTAGACTTTCATCATAAGCTTGTTTTTGTTCGGCTATCGTTTTTTCGATCTTTTCCACACATTCATCAATGACTTTTTGCATTTCTTGTTTACGCTGTTCGGTTGACTCAACAAGCTTTTGTGATTGTGCCGCTGATTGTTTCGCTGACTGCTCACTAGCCATACTCAATTCTTTCGCTTCTGTTGATGTATTAACGGCGACGATGGATTTTTGCTCCGCTTTTTGGACGATGACATCTTGTTGTTCACATTTTTCATTCAACAATTGTTCCATTTCTTGTGTTCGTTTTTTAATTACTGCTTCTAGCTGCTGTTGGGATTGTTTGATTTGATCAACCAGTTTTCTTGCCGCTGTTTGATACTCGGCTTTTTGTGTTTCAAGCAACTCTTCCTGACATTTTTCAAAATCTTTCGTAATTTTTTCGTAGGCTGCATCGATCGATGTTTGAAAACATGCTGCTTTTGCATTAAAATCATCTCGAAGTACGTCAACTTCCATTGTCACTTCATGGACAATGTCCGAACGAACTTTTTGTACAGAATGTTTCAGCTGATCAGGACCAACAAGTAAATTTTGTTCCCGCATCGAATGTGCGAGTGAAATTGCCGTTTGTTTCACATCGGGTACATCGTAAACGAGACTTGTACTTTCACCGCCTTCTCGAAACAAGCCAACATTATCGAGTATGTCTGGAAGAGGTTTTCCCGACTGATCGGTTTTTTTTATCAACTTTCGTTTTTCTACAATCAATTGACCAGTGACCTTGTAAGTGAACGGATCCAAATAAACATAACCATACTGAATGGGATCATTTTCGGTAGATTCCTCTGATGGCAGCTGATATTGATAAACTGCACCTCCAGCCACGACAATTGGACAACCAAACAAACGTTTTAATGGGATAAATTTTCCGTTTTTCAGTGGAACTTTGTGTTGTCCCATTTCAAACCCAAGTGTTTCTATTTTCATTTTGACCATTGGATCTTGCTTTGCAACACAAAGCCATAACTGATCGGCCAACGGTTGATTCGGAACAAAGTTTCTAATTCTCCCTGTTTTGTCCTTATCTTGTCTGTCGCCTTCTTTCAACGCATCGATTATCCATGCGACAGCATATTCAGCGACAAGGACAATTGCATTTTCACTTGGTTTTCCGTCGAGTTTATTGTTTGCCCATGTAAAAAATGTTGCCAACCGATGGTTGCCTTCGACTTTTTTGCTCATGTCAATAGAATCCAACTGTTCTTTGTAGTACAATGTCAAAAGTCCGGCAGAATTTGTTGCAGCCTTTTGCAAATATTCAATATTGCCCAATGTTGAGATGTTCCGATATTCCTTTTTCTGCTTTGTTTTGTCGACAACCGATACAATACTTGTAACTGTCTGTTTTAACAGGAACATGATTGGTTCCGGAATGGGTATAACTGACTCTGGTATCCAATCGATAACAGTTTGAATTTTCCCCGTTGCGGAACCAAGTTCAGTTGTCAGCAATTCCGATTGTGCGGCAAAAACGCCTATGAACAACGACTGTAACTGATGTTCAACTGTATTGTAAAAATGAACTAGATTATGATCATTTTTAATGAGTGCCAAAATTTCTTTCTTCTTTTCAGCGGTTTCTCGTACAGTTTTAAATAGAAGAACTTCACTGGTCAGCACGGCCATTTGATCTTTTGTTTCTTGAATTTCTTTCGAAAAATCTCGTTTTTCAATTGCTGTTTTTGCTTGTTTCAGTTTTTGTTCGCTTGTTTCGATTGCTTTCACCAGCGTAATTCGACTTTGTTCCATTCGTTTCATCTCACCTTGTAATTTTTCCAACTTTTGTTGTATGTCGTTCATGTCCTTTTCATGGATCTGTGCGACATCACGATCATTCTGGACTGAATTTAATTGTCCGACACGTTCTGCAGAACTGGAATGAAGATTTTTGTACAACAACTGGCCATAGGTCTTTGGATCCGATGGATCCAATTTTACATCGCTACCAGCAATCAGTCCACTCAAGTAACCCAAAAATCCTTCGAGAATCACTTTCTGCTGTGCACTAACAGTTAGATAATTTCCTGGATTTATTTCAGTTGTTAACGACGCATAGTGAGGTCGAAGATGTGCCAGAACTTCTTGTTGATTTTTTCGTTCTGCCGCTTCGATCATTTGCCTGCATTGGTCAGTTTTTGTTGCTAACGAACGGTAACGTTGATCAACAAATTCTTTGATTATGGAAACTTGACCATTCTCTGATGCACGCAGCAGTTGTTGCAATGTGTATTTTGGTGGTGCTATCGTTGGGTCTTCTTCATCATCTTTAACTGGAAAATCTTTGTTGCCCGGATCGAGAAGCTGAACAATGCGGTTATAACGGCAAGCTTTGGCAATAGCGAGCGCATTTTGACCGGCTTTGTTTTTCAATTCTCTTGTCGCTGGTCGATTTTCGATAAAATATTTAACAACGGGTAGATCCCCTAAAATAGTGAAGAATATAGAATCAACTTCAACACAAAAGCGCTCTGGAAAGAAACCAAGACAAAGAGGCATTCCTCAAGCTGCAAGCAACACCATTTTTGAACAAACAACCTTGGTGGACTCGATGACATAAATGATAGAGGACATTGTACAAGACGTTATATATTATATTCTTTTTGTTTTATAACACATAGTTGTGTTAAACTATTTAGTTACCTAATGTAAAACATATGAATTCTATTCTTTTCGCCTATTTCTATAATACAATATGCGATACAGTAATTCATATAATATTGTAGAGTATATATCTTGTAGTTATATACCATAGAGTATGGGTGATTCCATGGAAAATCAAACGTTTTTTTACGCCGACCATCTCCGATCGGGACGAAATTCGCAAGGCTTGTTGAGTGTCTACAGCCGGTCATTACGGGGTAGTTAGGGACGACTCCGAAGGGAACATTTTCTGATGTATTTCGCCATCTTCTGATGCATTTTGCTTCATTCCTATCCATATGCACATTTGTGACCTGATGCACTATGAAAGTACCCAAACTTCTCACGAGTCTCCGATTTCCCAAAATTTCCAGAATTTCTCGATATTTTCTATAGTTGTGAATTCCCAAAATCGGTTTAGGAATTCCATGGAAATTCCCAATCTGTAGAATTTTGACACGTCTAACCAAAAAACCTAGTTTTTCAGCAATCAGAGCGCACGAATAAAATTTTGTTCGAGCTACGTAAAATGATAAAGAAGACAATTCTGTGTTAAATGAGACGTCTCCGATCTTTACGACGTTTTTTGGTCAAGCTAAATCAAATTTACAGAAGGTCCAAAACCGCTCTCTAAGATTTTTCCCAGAGGAAATGGCAAAAAGCGACTTTTGACCTTCCGTAAGTTTGATGTAGCTCGAGCAAAAAATGTCGTACAGAGATCGGAGACGTCTCATTTAGTAGAGAATTGTCGACTCTATCATTTTATGTAGTTCAAACAAAATTTTATTCACGGGTTCCGAGTGCTGAACAACTAGGTTTTGGATTTTCTAGAGACCTTATTTTTGGGAATCTAGCTATGATTGTCATTCTCTTAAAACTTTGTTAGAAATAATTTTCTCTACTCAAACCACCATTTGGATCCTTTTTTGCGTGTATCATTATGAAAAAGATCGAAATCACACCATTTTGATCAATTTTAGTACCCGCTCTATATAATGCAGCAATTCAGTGCTTCGAAACCGACATAAAGTTCATTGGTAAGATCTGATACTTGAGTGCGCAGTCAGCATGCGATGTCCTACACAAAAAGACTGTTTTAGAAAAGCCTCAGGTCAGGTTGTCTGTGAACCGATTTTGCACGGGGACCTCCAAACACACCTCAGATTCGTGATTGGCCGAGTTAGTGACGTTCGAAAATGTGTTCTGACACATTGCCTGGATGTGCTGTAGTATACACAGGCCATTATAAACCGATTTAAACCAGTATTAGATGGCTACGCTCAGGATCTATTGTAAAAGAAGCTGTTATAACCGACTATGAAGGTAACCGAAAAAATTAACTGTGATAACGGCTCGGGGTAACCGGTGCATGTCTAATGTCTAAGTAACATGCGACGCAAAAGTCTTTGCAAAAAATGTCAAAAGCCGTTAGACCATGTTGCCAACTTCTAATTCAACCAATTTTCTCCTTGTTGAAAAGAGCAATGTCTGAACTACAAATTTTGTACCTAACATATTTTTACAGGGTGAAAAGGAGAAAATCCTGAAAACCAAATGCCTCTAAAAAAGTTCTTGCAACGTTTTTACAGCTTGAAAAGTCTGTATTTCTCAAATATTTCGGCCTACATCGATCGAATTTTAACAAAAGCTACATCAAAATGTAGCGCATCAAAAACTCTATCGATATCAGCTTTGCTAAAATATTTTGCGCTCTTGGCTCTGTAATAAAAAAATTTGAAAAATGAATTTTTTATAAAATAGACATTGCAAGAACTATCAGTTTGCAAGAATATCAGTCACCATCTTCAGAAACCATGCACGTAACCTATTTTTTCTCGTTATTTGTTCGAAATATGTCAGATCTTAGAAACTCAGCAGAAAAAAATAACTCAACAAATGTTTTTTACCGTTGTAAAACCGCCAAGTAGCGAGAACGACCAAATTCGAACTTGCGTCAAAGTGCAACTTGGCAACCAAGCTATGTTGGACACTATTATTGCTTCAGGGAAAAAAGGAAACTTATTTACCCTTTTCGGCTGCTTCTGTAATTGGATACTGGCCACTGATATCGGCGGTTTTCCAATTTGCTCCACTTTCACACAACCATTTGACAAAATCGACTCCATAATACTGAACGGCATAGTGCAGCGGCGTTCGATTCTGTTCATCTTGGTGATTAAAATCAACACCCATCGGAGTCAACAACTGGGCACTTTCAAGATCATTGTTTATGATAGCTGTAAGAAATTGAACGTTCAGTTGATTGAATAAATATGCCGATATTTGCTCGTAATTTTGATTTTTTGATAATTGTAGCAACGGCAATAATTTCGGATTTGAGTGAAGTATCGATGCACCATGTGATACTAGAGTATGGACAATGCGAAAGTAATTTCCATGTTGAATTGCCATTGAAAGAGCTGTTGAACCGTGAC